GCATAGCTCCTAGGATCATTGGGACACTCAAACCTCTCCACCACGATAAGGTAGCAGCCCAAGGAGAGGGCTGCTACCAAACTTTGTCAATAACCCTAAAAACACAGGCTAAACGAATATAAATACTTATTTATACTTGTTTTGTGTTTTTGTAATAATTATAGGGAAATATTACATCAGCAAGTATTTTATTACCCTTTAAATTGATTTCTGAAGTGCAGTGGTTCCAAACTTTTCAGCTTTTGACCCACAAAATAACAGTAGAGACCTGAGCCCCCAACTGTTTTTGGATGATAAACATTTGTATCAGGTCAACTAAACATGSRCATAGTAACAATATTTATTATTCTACATTTATACATTTTAGATAAAAACTAAAGCAAAAATGTAATTAATTTAGAAAATCTTTTCAGGACCCCGACCTTGATGTTTCAGGACCCCACTTTGGGTCCCGACCCCAACTTTGGGAACCACTAATCTAGGCTGTATTTTTGAGTGCAGATCCACTGAGAAACTTGCTGTCTCAGCAAAATTTAAGTTTAAACTTAATTTAAAAACTGTACTTTTGAGTTAAACAAATGTTCATGAATAATTTCAATAAATTACAAGGTAAAAGGGGCGTGGACATTTCTGTTATTTGTATCGAAAAAATATCGAACCGTGAGACTAAAGTATCGAACTGAATCGTGAATTTTCTGTATTGTTGCAGCCCCTAATATTCATTATATTTGGACAATATGCAACTGTTGCAAACATTTTAATCAATATGCTACAGCTGCCAGTTTCTCCACATATGACTTTGGGATGTAATCGTTGTTTAGAAGTGATGTCAGGTTATTGTTACATCCTCAGCAGCAGCTCCACTGAGCAGTGAGGAGCTGTCAGTTCAGCTCAGAATCTCAAAAAGACTTTTGTCATTCCTCTCACAAATAAGTTGCACCTCTTTGTTCCTGTTTTTATTTATTTATTTATTTATTGTTGTACTACTCTCCACCACATCACAACAATAATACAGTTAAAGTAAAAGTTCAAACAAACAGTTTATTTATGTTGTTTTCATCTTTGCAGCTGTCCCCAGCATTCAGGACCCCCAAGGACACAACACCACTCAGACTGGCTTTGAGCCTTATGTTCCAGCTCAGGAAACAGGTGAGCCTCTATTACAGACATTTTATATTTCATTTTATATATCTGTTAACGACCTCCTGAATCACTTTACTTGGACAGGATTTTACAGTTCCTGATCATTTAATGTAGTTTTTAGGTCTTWCTGGTGGATTGTTTGAGATGTGTCCACCAGTACAACACATCTGCACCTCTGCCTCATGTTTTGGGGAAACAGGTCCACCACAGGCCTGGCTGAGAGTCACCTGACTTTTTCACACAGCCTGACTTCCACTTCCCAAATCCTTCAGCAGCCYTGTGAAGAGATGATGATAATAATAATAGTAATAATAGTAATAAAATGCAGAAATACGTGATCAAAAAAGTTCTTTACTCTGAATAAATTCATTGCAATAAGTGGGGGTCAACATGCACCAGGCAGTACAGAATTGAGTCCACAGCTCACTCCTTGGTTCTTATGAGTAACAAACATCCTAAATTTTAATTAAGACCAGTTTTGTGGTCTTTCAACAGAGAAAAGCAGCTTAAAATGCAGTGGTGGGCACAGTTCCCCCTAAAGCACTAATAGGGGAACTAATTTCCTGATTAGGTCTTTAGAGCTTTTTGCTAATTTCCTAATTCATTAGTGGATTAGCACTTGCTAAATTTCTACACACTAATTGTTCTTTAAACATCACTGATCAACATTATTGCCAACAGCTGAGGGTGAAAGCTGTCAGACGTGTGTCACTTCTCCACTAGATCAGTGGTTTTCATACATTTTTGCTTCCGACCCACAAAATAAAAAAATAACAGCTGCAGACACTCATGACCCCAGATATTACTTGTTTACGAAGCTAACTTTGCTAATAACTCTGTTAAACATGGGAATAATAACTACAAACAAACACAGTAACTGTGACACTAGTTTTTATTCATTTTTACAATAAAATATTAGCATTTTTTTTGCAGATGTCTAGAAGTCATCTAGTGACCCTCACTTGACGTTTTGTGGCCCACAAAGAGGTCCAGACCCCAACTTTGGGAACCTCCACACTAGATGAAATATTAACAATATTCTGCAGACAGAAAATATCGTCTCATGTTGATTCTGAGGAGTGTTCGATGGGTCAGATGGGYTTTTAGTGCTTTAGAATTAGCCTTTGCTAAATTTTTAAGCATGTTAGTGCTTTAGAATAAAGGGACCTAAATATTAAAGTTAGTTCTTCAGGGTTAGTGCAACTAATTTTTAGATAARTGCWGCCCGGCACTGTTAAAATGTGATTCTGCTTTTTATTTCACCATCAATCATGTTTCCACATTCCTATAGTAACAAAACAAACAGAACTGCAGTCCTGTTGTGCAGAAACTACATTTGTGTGTGAAGTTTAGGCAGGAACAATGAGAAATGGCTCTTTAAAGCTTCCCTACCCAAAAGTTACAACATAATTTAAAACTATTCAGAATAACATGATAATGTATATGTAAGATATTTAATRAGTAAAACATAACTGAAACACTTTCAAAATATAAATACACGAGCAATGATTTTATTTTCCTTCACAAGATAGGCTACAAAACAGCTGGAGCTCACTTCCACTGGATAGATGTAACTTTTTTCCACCTCCTTTTGTCTCATGAACACTCATGTCTGAGCCCACGAATGGGTTCATCCAGCTGGGGTTCATCATGGTTTTGTAATGTGGGGGCAGCCACAGAGACCTAAATATCCATACAGGTGGACCTAAACATGGTTAGACGTTCCTCAACAACATTTAAGAACAAACCAGCATGAGGAGACAGATCAGTCATCAAAACCTGAAGAAACCTGTGTAAAGGTAGATGAGGGAAAACATTGTGTAGTGAGGTGCTCTTAATAAGCTCAGATGGAGGGAGCATGGTGGTAAATAATAAAACAGGGAAATGGTGTTTTAGTGTTCTCAGGAATCTCAGGTTGTTGATTGTTTTTGCTCAGTTTAGTCTGCAAAGCCTTTTGCTTCATGTTCCATTCAAAGTAATTGAAATTGTTGATTTCTTTGCATTATGTGAGTAAAAAAACAAACATTTGGTTTTGTTTCAGCCCGCAGGCMAAACACAAGAGATCCCACCCTGACAGGACCAGTCCAGAACCCACAGAGCTCTGCTCCTGCCCTGCACTGCAGCCAGTCCAGCTATGGCTGCTGCCCAGATGGGCGCACCTCAGCTGGGGGGCCCCGAGGTCTGGGCTGCCCCCAGACTTCAGCTCCCACTCCTGCTCCATTATCGTGCACTCAGACGAGGTATCCTCCTTCAAACCATCATTCCGCTGTGATTCATCTCACCACACACACAAAACRACTTTTAGAGTATTTGGTGTCACTTTATCGTGACCACGTTAACCACGCTGTGCCCAGAAAGGTTCTCAGAAACTACAACCGGACATTCTTTTACAAATGTCATCGTTCCGTTTTTATTTTTGTCTCAAACCTTCAGTACAGATTATTAAATAGTTTTCTTCTTCTTCACTTCTGGTCTGTTTGTCAGCTTTGGCTGCTGCAGAGATGGTGTAACAGCTGCTCAGGGCCCCGACAAACAGGGCTGCATGGAGTATGTGGCCCCGCCCCCCACAGTAAGCAGTTGTATAAATGCATAGTATAAACAGTGAATTAGAGTAAACCCAATTTAAAAACAACCTGATTTAACAGGATATAATTTAATTTATTGCCCCAGGTCGCCCCTCTGCCTACTGAGAACGCCGTAGAGTGCCGCACCACCACGTACGGGTGCTGCTATGACCGAACCACACCTGCAGGAGGAGCCAGTGGGGAAGACTGTCCCAACCCACCCAATCACAGTAAGAGGCTGAGCAACTGAAAATATGCATTGCACACCATTACCTAATTAAATTTTCTTCAACAGCAACACTGGGTTGGTTTGATTTGTTTATGATTGTGTCCTAAAAACTGTCATGTGTCTGGAATATAAAAGCCTAGAATTCAAAACATTCCAGACCCTTTATACCTCACATCCATTGGGATAGTCATCACATAGTTCTGGGCCTAAATCAATAAAAACTGGTAATTTCATCATTTGGATCATTCTTGTTACTGATTAGTTCCCGATTATCCAATTAGATTGAGGTAATAACTCAACTTGAAGTAAGTGAGCTTCAAGTTTGTGACAAGACAAGCCWGCCAATGAAGCTGGRGAACAGGGGGTGGCCATGGCCACCACAGACAAATTTTTGGYCATCCCATTGGCCACCCTGCTGTACACACCTTCCCCAGTGAAACAACCTTTAGGGGTGTAATAACCCTCCTGAACCGTTGGTGGCAGTGTTTAACAGTTTGAAACATCACCAAGCTCAAAGAAGTAACAAAGAAGTGATTGTTTTCTTTATCTGTGTCCAAAACAGCAGGCCGGGTCCTCCGAAGGCCGAATCCGTCGGCCACAGCGCCGCGAGGAAGGCCGTCCAAAACCGAAGACTCCTCCGATGCGGCCGACAAATACGTCCTTCCTTTGGCC